GCACCTTTGAATGAATACAACATGAAAGCCTAGAAATTTTGTTCCATTCTTTGAACTTAAGTGGCTATGCAAATATCTAGTGCCCATGGCCAGTGCCTCTCTGCTGGAAAGCTTTTGACATATGAGGTATGACTTGTTTGTATCACAGCAGCTGTCAGCTTTCTGTTGCAAATATATAAATACACAGTGTGCAGATATATTTACATGAAAAAAAATTAATACTTGGATGTGGTTTCCAGGTTATTGCAGCTTTGTTCAATGAGTAATTCCATGAAACTGAGTTTGATGATGAAATGTTTGTTGCTAATCATGTTTGTATGTTGACCCAAAAAATATGTTTTTATCTTCACCCAAAAATATACTGTTTAATTTCATTTGTGTCTTGAGAGTTTTATTTTCTCTCCAAGTAAAGTGAAGTACCTCCATATCATAAAGGGACATGTGATATGCACCTTATACCCTTCCTACCTTTTTCTCTCAGGACATCTTGATAGTCCATCATCATGGAATGATCGGGGATAAGAATAACATTATGCTGTGGTAAGAAGAGACATACTTTGATCACAGTAAGAGAAAAGTCATAAACTAGTAGAAGTGAAGAATGTTATTTAATAGATCCTACTCAGTATGTTTTGCAACTGAGAAATTATATAGAGTGCCATTTATTTTCCTGTAAATCTTATCTCCCATAGATCCCTTACTATTTTGTATTTCCTAATAGTTAGAATAAATGCTTTTTATTAGGGTTGCTTACACCAATAATTTTTCGGTTTCATAATGTCAAATATACTACTGTGCATGTATGTCCACACACACATGTTCTCTCTGGCATGTTTCAGACAGTCCTGATCTACCACCTTGTCTGAAAGGTGCATGCTTAGTAGATCTCATATGAAGTGGGTTTGACATATGCAACTGTCAGCAACTTATGTACTCCAGGTTGAATAGAAGAACAAGAGGAAATTCAGCTAAAAATATGCCAAAGTAAGATGGAAACTAGCCAGCTGTCAACCATGCTGAAAATAAAAAAAAAATCTGAAAAACAATAATATGATACTACTTGAGAGAGTTGGAGGAATGCCTTTTTTTTTTTTTTTTTCTAGAGATGATTTAAAAATATGTTTCTTCCAATTTGAGAGTAAGAAAAAAATGAAAAGTATTAATTATAGACAATCAATGCCTTAATACATAGTGCATGGAAGATAAATTTCTAATCTTACATGTGGTTCACTTCAGATAGTCCATAAATACTCAGAACAGAAACTAGGGTTTCTCACATAATATTAGTCTGGTTTACAGTACTTTGTGTTGACCAAATGCAAGTCATACCAGCTCTGTTCATGTAAGGCATAAAATGTATATTGTTGCATAGAGTAAGACTTTTTGAAAACAAATGGACTTGTTTGTTATGTTTGATCAGAAGATCATGAGTACATGGAAGTATCACACACATTTATCTCAGCTGGGATTCCTTCAAGAATAAACTCAGTTTTTAATATCTTTGTCATGCATGGTGAAGAAATGGGACAATTAAAACTAATGGAGGTGATTATGACTTCAAAAGACCTATTGTTAAATGTAAAAAATATTTTGAATACTCAAGCAGGTTGATACTTTTTCTGTCTTTCCCTCCCTCTCATTCTTACACTGTGTTCCCCCTCCCCTCTTTCTCCTTCCCTTCCTTAAACTAATATCAACCATGGATGCTGAGGTGTATACTCATGCAAAGTCAAATTCCAACCATTAAGATAAATACATACGTATTTCTTATAATATCTAACTGAACATAATGCATATTTACATATTTATTATCAGAAATATCTCATGCATTATAGTTCAAGATTTCAAGTATATACATTATTTTTATATATACATATAGTTAATTTTTAGTTGTAAATCATGAGAGTTGGTCATTCCATCTATAACTTATCAGATTTATTGTCTGTAGCTTATTTTTTTGTGTCATGAGTGAGACATTAAATAAAGCTGAAAGCAAAGATAACATACACAATGCTGTCTCACACCTCTTCCAAACATCTGTGAATTTTGTTAATTTTAAAGCTGTGTGCTAGTTCCACTATGTGCCCAAAGTACACAGTATCAATTTCCCACACCATGGCTATATTACAGCACACTAAATTTTGTTTACTTCATAAATGCTTTCACAATACTAAAACTTCCAAAAGGATTAAAGCAGACTTCATTCATTTCTTTAGTGCGTGGAAACAATTGATGCCCATATACTTCCTGAACTTCTTTTTGGTTTTTTGTTTGTTTCTTTCATTCTTTTTTTTTTTTTTTCTCCTCATCCTATACAATTTTCTATCTCCGATTGTAAAACTTTTACTGCAGTGTTCTAAGCTGCTGCCATATTTGGGGGTTTTGCATTTTCCAAACAATTATTGTATCATAAGCTACTAGCATATTTTCCTGTTAAGAAAGCTTTTACTTCTCCTGTTTGTAGCTTCCTGAACTCAAGCAAATTATATTCTCTCTACTAGCCATAAAGGAACTTCCTTTGATATAGTTCAGCAAAACTAACCATACTCATTCTACTTTATTTGGCATAAAGTCTATAACAACCATATTCGACAGAACTGATCTTTCATGAAGATATTTCTGCCACTTCAATACACTATTCCAGGAGGTAAACCAGATGTTTTTATAAATTTGGGAAGATGACATCAATAGCTTTCAGACAAGGTGCCTCTATCTGAACAAATTTCATATTTTTATATTCAGATGTTCTTGCAAGTAGTTTCCCAAAGAGGCATGAGCAGTAATGTGTGCTTAGTTTTGAGATCATTATCCTGTAGTTTCTCAAGCACTTGACAAGTTACTCTTTGGATTATTGACTAAAGAAATATCACTCAATTTCATATCTTCATAAACATCTTCCATAATCATGAAATAATATATACTTCTCAAGATGTAACTATGCCAAAAGGTCCTTTAAAGACTATGGAGTTAATGTTTCCTGTAGAAATGACTCTAATTATAATATATGGCTTAATTTTGTATTATGCACATCTTTGTAATATCTTTTTGCTTCAGCAAAGTGATATATTTCACGAAATATTCTGACAGGCACTATAGATATTTTTTTTCCTAAGATTTCCCTTACTATTGCAGGGGCAACCTAGTCTCCTTCAACTGAGACACCACATTTGTACAGAGAATACAATTTATAAATGTTAGTTCATACATCTGGATAACATTTTATAAGTACTGTCTAAAGAAAGGATTAATCTCTTATTCTTAGCTGTCCTGATAAATTTCCAAATGCTGTTTTACTCCTAAATCTTTTATGAAAATCTTGATTCAGATCTTATTTTATGAAAGCCTCACCTGTTTTACAGGTCATATTTTAATATTTTTTTTTAGTTTACTACTGTTTGAAATATTTTTTTTTCCCCTCCTTTGGAAATCTGATTCCTATGTATCCTCTACTTGTTTTATTTTGGTTGCAAGACAACTGTCAGCTAACGGATCCCCTTTCACAGTTATGTTGTTTATCTTGACCCTGATCATTTTTTATTACTAGTTGTAGATTGTTAAGTGCTGAATAATGTCTTTGATACAAATTAAAGTTAATGAAGAAACGTACTACTACTGCCTGTTCTCTCTGAATAAAGCTGAATAAAGCCAAAAGGACGGTTTACTTACTGAGACATAATTGTCTCTTTACATCCAGTTATTTTTTTCTCTAAATCTTTACTGGTCACTCTAGAAGTTTGCTTTTGGTTTTACATTTGGTTTTCATTTGTTTTCTCAATAGAATATGATTTTTTGAAAAGGTATATGCATTAAAACTAAATGCCTAGCAACTAATTGTTCAAAGACAAAATGAACAGAATCATAATTTCTTCAGGAGGTATCAATTGCATATCTAATTACCAAAATCACTAAAATTAAAACAATTTTAAGGTTTCAGTAAATATTCACAGTTTACAGGAAATGTTCTGTATTACTGGATACCCCTTTATGCAATATATTCCAGTAATGTTTATAACTTAATCTTTCTTATCATGTTCTTAATATACAATATTAGAGTCAACTTTACCCACACAATGGTTTAATATAATGCTAACACAAATAAAATCAATAACAAGTGTAAGAACTATATGGGAAAAAAAAAAAACAAAAAAACAAACACATCAAGCATATTCATATTAACAACAAAACAATACATTCTCCTTAAAATTAAATTTAAATCAAAACCATTATCAGTCTTGCAAAAACATCTTCAGAGCAATATTAAGTAGGATCACTGGGCAGTATTCCTATGTATTCTGAAATCAAAAGCTGGATCTTCAGCTCATGTCTTTCAATAGTCACTGCAGACAAAGGGAACTCAGAACATCTGTGCTTGCTGAATCTCATTCTATGGATGCTAGAAACCAGTTCTTGTTGTTGGCTTCTAATTTTGCAGCCAAATTTTTGTACACTGTCAGAAAAACTGACTCAGATAATATTTACTGAATTTGAATCATTTTGCAAAAGCATATTCCACAAAGTTAATTTAGTATTTCTTCTGTTTGTGGATTATACAAGGCATGCTATGGAATCTTTCCTCTTATTTTAAGAATCTTAGTGTTTAGCTTTCTCACCATAGATGCTTCATGTCATCAGCTTTTGCTACTGAAAATTTTGAAAAAACACTAGCACTTCATTATCTAAACAAAGTTCAACATTTAGAAAATATTGAAAAGTATCAGGGCTGTGGAATGTAATTTTGTTATTTTTGAGGATATGGAAGGAATCATATTAGAGAACCATCATATAAAAATGGTCAACTTCTTCAAATAACTGGTTTTTTTTTTCTATTTAGATAATGAAATACAATCCATAAATGCTGGTAAAACATGGTTTTCTTTAGATAGGAGAAAGAGAACGAAAGGAAAGCTAGTAATGTAGAAAAAGCAACAGTATATTGGAGCTTTTCTATTACAGCAACAAAGATTAATGAAGAGAGATCAATGAATTGACATATAACCTACCCATGGGAGTTCCCACGCCATAACCTTTTGAGTCTATCAGGCCTCCAATCTGTGTTAGGTTACAGTTCCGCTGTGTGACAAACTCAATGGTTGTCGACTCCATTAAAAACGCGTAGTCGGAGGTAAGCACACGCTGGATGCCTTCTTCATTGCTTTTGACAAGTACTGACTGCCTCCTGCTACTCATGAAGGCCCACATCTTATCATAAGTGGAGATTTTGGATTTCTGAAAGACAAATATTAGATAGAACAGTAATAAAGATAAAACATGTTTAAGAGTGAATGCAAATTCCAAACTTACACATTATCCTCTTACCTCTTATCATGTTTTATTGCACATGTCAGATTTTACAACAGCAAATGTAAGAGTGTCTATATATTTCATCACATATGTGGAAAACAAAGCAGATGGACACATTTTGTAGAAAATGCGTTATATTTTAGTTAATCTATTTTTCATTCTGTGCACGTTTTTATTCGTGTAGAGTTAAAACCTAAAAGTTTTTAAAGTCAGTGAAAAACTATTAAGGATTTTAATACAGTCAAGTTCATCAACAGTACTGGTGAGTTTCATAGGAGAATTTGTTGTATTCTTGTATGTTTGAAATTCACTCATATTTCAGTCATTACCCTACTCCTGAGCTTTTAAAAACTACTTTTAAAAACTTTCTGCACAGTGGAGCAGCTTGCAGTAGTCAGAACACTTACAGATAGCAATGTATGGAGAAAAAAAGTCATGAGGAAGAAGGCAACAAATATACAACTTACCACACTATAGTCATGTTTATTTGCCATTACAAAATTAACAGCTAAAAGTCCTAAAGTTTAATATGTATCTGTTGCTTTAGTATACCCTGAATGCAATGCACTATTGTGTTATGGATGAGAAAGAGACAAAGGAGACGACAATTTGGTACAAACTGCTGCTGCACAGCCATAGAGGAGCTACTCCTTTTCTCGACACATCGGCTTAAAAAAAAAAAGCAACCCAACAAAATAAAACGAAACCAACAAACAAAAAACCACAAACGTATCACCTCCCCTCACTTTTTTACAGTACTGTGTAAGAGATAATGATAAAACGAAGGCATTAGAACACTTGATCATTGCATATTACATTTGTCACCACATGCTTAATAATGTTCCAAACTCAAATATATCAGAAAATGTTCATTAAAGTTATATCTTGTATAGAAAATAAAATGTAGATATACGGTATAAAAACTGGTATAATCAAGCTCTTTCAGGCATCTTTCATCTTTTAATGTCAGCCTAAACATAACTTTGCCATCAGCTCTGATGGAGATACTAAGCAAAGATTGACACTACAAACCTTTCTGAAGCTCCACTGACTGGCAGCCATAAATATGCCTAAAGAAGGATTAGTATTGTATGTGGAATGAAAAGAACATTTATTTAGGAAAAAAAAAGAAAAAAAGACAACTTTGTCCCCGTGCTAGGACAGAATCCAAGACCTATTTCAGTCTGCCTGAGGACTTAGCAAAACAAGCATTTGAAGTAACTCTAGTGTCAATGCTAACAAAACGGAAGACTTCTAGAACTCTGCATGAACATTCTGCATGAACACATTATTTCTGTACTGAATGTTATGCAAATGACCATACAAGGTTTTAGTAACAATGAAAGAGAAAGTAATTTTTTTCTTCAGAAGATACTGTGAATCCATAGAATTAAGAAGAACAAACAGATATGGTCTCTATTCATAGGTTTGTTTTCTCAATCAAATAATTCTTTGAAGCACTTAATACTACACTATATGCAGAATAAGATACTTTAAGCAATGCACATCGGCTGTACATTACTATGTAATATAGAAAGAATGGAAAATAAGTGTTTTCCAATGTTTGTAAAATTTTGCCTGTATTATCATTTAATTTTTTACCGTACAATCTTTATTCCGCTACTGAAAGCAAACATTTAAGCCAATATAAATAATCTGAGTAATATAAGGAATTTGCAGAGAAAACAATTTGGGTAAACTATTAAATACATTGCTGGTGCACGCTGAGAAGGAAAAAAAACACATGAGAGCCATAGTAGAAAATAAAGTAAATAATAATGAACACACATAAGTATTTCTGCACTTACGTTGCAAAAAAAAAAAAAACCATTACCAAGGTAAAAGTATGTTAGCAAAAGGTACGGTTATCTCTACAAAAGCATGTGAAAAAAGACCTCTCAAAGACAGGATGTGTTCATTATGATGACTAACTTTATCATTTAGGATGACACTTCTGAAAAAGAAGGAAGAGAAGTCATAAGCAAAATAAAATCAAAGAAAGCTTCTACATAGTAGTATGCTTGCTGTAAAAATTAAAGAAGTATAAAAATTTTACACAGTTAATGAAGCTGTGGAAGATAACATTAAGCTATGTGCTAAAACAAAAGCACATACGACTCTCACTAGAGAAGATATCAAGGGTGATAGAAAAGATAGTCATCTCTTTTTTTATCATGTAAGCAAAATACTACAATATCTGCACCACGTTTTCTGTTCACAGGAATTTGAGGGACTTCCTGTTAGTGAAACCCTTCAATCTTCTTCAGGAGGTGCTAGCTACCATGAAACACATTTGAAATATTTTTACATCAGTGCAAACAGTACAAACAAGAGGAGATAAAGTCTTGGCTCAGTTTCAGAGCTACAACATCACTGATGTAAGCAAAACCTGGTGGGAAGAGTCCTGTGACCATTGTGCACTGATGAATGATTATAGGCTCTTAAGCAGGGATAAGCAAGGCAAGTAATGTGGGGAGTGGTTATCTGTAAAGATGTATAGAGCTCTCAATTCGTGATGACACTGTTGAGATCAGGATCAAGGGACAATCAAATAAAACATCTGTTGTTGTGGGAGTTTACTATAGGCCACTGAGCCAGGATGATGACATCAATTAATTAAAGAACTAAAATCAGACTTCAGATTGCTTAGGAAATTAATTAGCAAAGTCCCTTGGGAAACTGCTTTTAAATGCATGGGGATCTAACCATGCATGTCGCTTTCAAAGTACCACCTCTTAAGAGCATAGAAAAAGGCAATTCCAAAATGTCAGAAGTCAAGCAGTTGGAGCAGAAGATTGGGTTGGCTGGGTAGGAATCTTCTTATAGAGCTTATGCAGAGCAAACACAAATACGGCCACAGGAAGTGAGGTCAGGCAACATACAAAGATACTGCTGTAGTGAAAAAATTCATGTGGCCAAAGCTCAATTAGAGTTGAAGCTGGCCATTACTGTGGGTGAAATAAGAAGGGCTTTTTAAAATATGTTAACAGAGGACCAAAGATAACATTGGTCCATTTCTTGAGGAGGATGATCACATTGCAAATAGGAGCACAGAAAAAGCAGAGATGTTTAATGCTTTCTTTCCTACTTTCTTCAATGCTGATGAAAGGCTTGAAGACTCTCAGAGAACTGAGTTGGAGAACCATGTCTGCAGTAATGATAAACTCCCTGCCAGCCCTGAAATTGTGAAGGATTTGCTGCTCAAACTGGATGTTTATACGAGGCCTGATAGGATTAATCCAAGAGTACTCAAAAAGCTAGATTATGTAAAATCTTGACACCTCTCTCAATTACTTTTCAACAGTCTTTGGAATCTGGAGAGGGTCTAGTGAACTGGAATCTGTCAAATATTATCCAATTTTTCAAGAAGGACAAGAAAGAAGATCCTGAAAATTACAATACTGTCAGTATCACTCTTGCCAGATAAAATTATGGAGAAGATCATTAAGGGCATGTTGAAATACATCTGAATGCACACATTCTTCAGAGTCAACACATGTTCACAAGGAAAGCCCTTGTTAAATCTCCTCTTATTAAAAGTTTACCCTCATAGGTAACCAGGGGAAGCCAGTTGATGTATTCTTTTTGGATTTCAGCAAAGCTTTTGGTGCTGATTCTTACAGTATCTTTCTGGACAAAATGTCCAGAATACAGCTATACAAAAAGATAACTTGGTGGTTGAACAGCTCATTGGCAGGTCAGGTTCAAAGGGATATAGTAAATGAGGTTACATCAGGCTGGCAACTAGTCATTATTAGAGTTCCAAAAAAAAACATTTTTTCACAAAAATCCACCTTAATGTTTTCATCAGTGACTTGGATGCAGGACTTGAATATATATTAAGTAATTTTGTGGATGACCTTAAATTGAGAGGATCTGATGACTCCCTTGAGAGTAGAGAGGCCTTGCAAGGAGAAAAGGGCAAATTAGAGGGCTGGACAATCATCAATCACATGAAGTTTTAGAAGAGCAAATGCTGGATTCTGCATCTGGGATGGGGCAAGTTATACTTGTATGGACTAGGGGACAAGAGGGTTGATTCTTGTTGATAGCAAGTTGAATCCAAGTCCACATGTGCCCTGGCAGGAAAAAGAGCCAACCATATCCTGGGGTGCATGAGACCCAGAACTGCCAATTAGGTGAGGGAAGGGATTGTCCCAATGTACTCTGAGCTAGTGTGGCCTCACCTCAAGCACTGGGTACAGGTTTAGGCACAACAGTATAAGAAAGATGTAAAACTACTAGAGAAATTCCTCAGAAGGGCTATGAAGATGGTGAAGGGTTTAGAGGAAAAGATGTATGAGGAGTGTCTGAGGTCACTTGGCTTGTTCAGCCCAGAGAAGAAGAGACTGAGAGGAGTCCTCATGGTGGCCTATAGCTTCTTCATGAGGGGACTGGATGGGATGGGACTGAACTCTTCTCTCTGGTGACAGTGACAGGACACAAGGAAACAGCATGTAGCTGCATCAGGAGAGGATTAGGTTGATTGTTAACAAAAGGTTTTACACCAGTGAGTGGTCAAGTCCTGGAACAGGCTTCCCAGGGCAGTGGTCATGGCACCAAGCCTGACAGATTTCAAGAAGAATTTGGACAACATTCTCAGAAGCATGGTTTGAATTTTGAGTGGTCCTGTGTAGAGTCAGGAGGTGAATTCAATGATCCTCAATGAGTCCCTTCCTACTCAAGATATCTGTCATTCTATGATTCTTCCATCCCTAAAAGGCAGAACTGAAATGATGTCAAAGAAAACAGCCTACCTATTTGTGACTTAAATTCAAAGTGGTGTTTAGAAATCTTACAAAAACAACGTATAATAAAAGAGATTTGTTTTATGCATAACATAGAATAGTTATTTGAGAAAACAAAACAAAGCATTTGATTCAGTAAAATACAATCACAAATGGTTTTCCTCTGTGTTTGGAAAG